CTTTATTTAGGCTCATATCAGAGGAAGCAAGCCATGCAATCTTTAGCTCTTAACTTATATTAAAGTACTAAACTCTTCCTTTTTGTGGCATATTTCTATTTCTATTCTAGTGAATCATCAGCTGTATGGTCCCTTTTGAACTGCTTCTTGGTTCCAGAAACCCTTAAATTGACATGGCCATGATAAAAGATATTATATTACTGAGAGGGTATTATCAAATATTAGAGAAACTAAGAAGTAACATCTGCGCTTTCAGAAAAAGCTAGGATTCTAATGCCTAAATTACCCATATTTTCCACTAGAACAATACAAAAATATTAAAGAAGGTTTACCTTTAAAAATAATGCTTGCAACCTGAGAAAACCATTTAAGTATATCAAGTATCATAAAAGCTCTTTCTAAAATTGAGGTTGTTACAGTAAAAGCATCCTAAAATAACAGACTGTGGAAGTCGAGGAGTCAGAAAACATAATATTTTTATCTGTTAGAAGTGATAATAATAATATATTTTCATATATATTTGTGTCTACAGAAAGCATTACAAAACACAGGCACATGTATCAGGAAGCTAAGCTAAAGGGTTGCAACACTAGAACTAGAACTAGATTCTGCAAATCTTACATTCATCCCATCCCCACTGCACTTGTAATCCAGCAGCAGTTTTGCATCGCCTTCCTTGCGTGGTACTTGGTGGCTGCTCACGTGTCTAAGGGAAGATGTAGTTTCACAATACACTGGCCCAGTAGCAAAGCCAGCTCATGAAATATCCTAGCTACCAGTCCCACTCTCTCCCAACCACTGCTACCCCCACATCATTATTCATCACCCCCTCAGTCATGCCTATATGACTAGTTGTGGGGTCAGACCAGGACACAGGTCATAGAACCGACCTGGGTTAAAAATAACACCACCAAAAATGCAAGGGATTATTTTTAACTTGGAACGTTTGAAAGATATGGTTTATGGTGTGATGCCATGCACAGTTTTAGTGACACAGCTGGTGTGGTGGCAAGCGGAGACAATGGGATGGGAACAGTAGGGGAGAGGCCGGAAATCCTCAAGCCAGCTTCACTGCCATGCATGATGGAACCACGCCATATGGCAAAGTTTGCAAAATCTGGTCCTCTCTGCAATTCCCTTTGGCATTCTTATTTGGGTACTATTATTACCAAAGTTTTGGGTACTTACGCCATGATGCCTGAGAGATGAAACATTTCAGCTGTTATATATGACAAATAACTGTACAGGAAGACAAAAAGTGGCTCAATCACTCGGATTTTATGGGTGAAACGGGTGGTAAATGCTGCTACAAATCCCAAAAGGATTCCAATCAATACTCCACCGATCCCCACTATAAAGAAGTTAGCAATCCCAGCGAATATGTCAACAACCTTAATTGTGCGCATCTGGCAGAAAGACTTGAACAAATTGTACAGGACCTATGGGAAAAAGAAAGCATGTTATGTTTCTGAACTTTTCTTAATTTTGTGTCATTGTGTTCCTCCATTTCAATGTTGGACTTTGTATTTCTATATCTACCTTGAACTCAATTTTGAGATATGATGTGTACCTCTGGCATATCATTTGTCATCCATAAATATTAGGGAGATTCACAAAAAAAGGGGTAAATACCATTATTCTCATGTTTGCAGGTGGGGACAGAATACTGAGGTATCATTCTGCAGGCCAGAAGTACAGTCATGAACCGAATCCTTACCTGGCTGATTCAAATTCCTAGTCAAAACTCTATCTAAACTCATTCATTTACAAACTCTAATTTCTTCAGTAATAATCAGTGAAAAATCAGATTACTTTGACATGTGGTGGAGCTACGAGACACCAAGACGTGAAGTAGTGATCAGACCGTAGATCTATTTGGCACATGGATAGTGCACAGAGGCTGCCCCAAGACGTAGTGCAAGAAACAAGGCATGCATGGAGCATTTTTTTCTCTGATATACTAGGTATTAGGAGTCCAATGGTTTAAGGACTAACTTTAAGGACTTAAGTTTTCTTGGCCGAACAGTCCTTTCCATTTTACAGAAAATTATGCAAAGTCCACATTTCTGTAATATCCAGTATTCTAGTTATGACAATACATTCAGCAGTGAAATCAGTTTACTCTTAACGAACTCTCTCAACTGCAGATCTACCAGGGAGATTCAAGTTTTGCTAGATGATGCCCACATGCCCCCAGCCATGTGATACCATGAGGGCTACAGAGTCCCCTTGGACACATGAAAGCTTGGTCATGTGCACCTCTTCCTGTCAGAACTCATAAACACCAGAAATGAAAATCAGGTTCACAGACCAACCCAGCAGTGATGTTCTTAATAAACACCACACTGGTCAGCTTGGAAAGCTTACAGAAGTTAAACTTTTGCTTTCCTTCTGAAATTCTTAGTAAACCAAACAAGTTCCTCCCTCAGAAATGTTAATGAGATAGCAATGTTTTATCGGTACTTGCATTGTGCCAACATGTACATATTGAACAGTGAGTGGAAAAGGTTTGTCAAGTTAGCAGTCTAGTTCTCTCTTACATGACAGAAAAAAAAAAAAAGAAAGTTGTAGAGCTCTTCCTGTACAAAATGTGGAGGTCTTACACAGGTAGAAGTCCTCACTAAAAATTAATAAATATGAAAATATGGTTTTTTATGGGTCCTTTGGGCTAAGTGAAAAGAAAGAAATGAGAAAGAGGAGAAAAAAATATATATATCCCAGTGCAAGCATGAGAAAAAAAAGGTCAAATCAAACCCAGTAGGGTCAAAGAGCAGGAGCCAGAGTTATTTATTTCATAAGAATGATGGATTCATGACAGGTCCACCCGGGAAAGTCTCAGTGTTCACCTGTGAAAAACCATTCACCTTTCTGCGGTGAGACAGATCCCGTCTTACTTTGCGTCATCCCTTGTTAACTTGTCCTGTGAATGACTGGAAAGTTTCACTGTAGGGTCCAATGGTTTTCAAGCTGTCATGAATTTACATGGGGAAAATATATCAAAATAAAGCCAATTGACAATAGCTCTGCTCATGTTGGTCACTTCACAAAGACCCTTCAGTTCACAGACTCCCAAGGCTCCATGAATCACAGCCTGCAGACAAGTACTATTCTTTGTGTCAAGCAAGCAGAGCAGTTTCCCTGAATCACTTCTTGGCACTTATGACTGCACCACAGTTTTGTTTCTTCAAGACACCTCCAGGATTTGACCTTGCAGAAGGATCATTTGGAATGTATTAAGGAAGATGATTACTTTGTCTAATTTGAGTTAAATAGCCTTATTTATATTTTAAAAGAAACTGTATAAATATATAGGATTTTTTTGAAATAAGGCCAATGAGAGCTGCTTATAAAGAAAAATACAGTTTTGACCTGTTCAAGCAGCAGTCTTTCTATAACATCCTCTCATCTTCACAGAGGACTGTTCACCCTGCAGATAGCTATAATAAAGCTGTTACTTCTGCACGGACTGCTCCATAAACCTTTAGCGTGCTGCCATACCATAAGTTATCTGAAAGCAGAAAAACAATGTTCTCCTTTGTACCTGGGTTCAAAACCAGACTGCCACACTAGAAACAAGGACTACAGCATGTCATGAACATGATTTAATCATGTTCCTATTGTTCTTTATGTACACTAGTGTAAATCAGATCATAATCAGGTTCACTTCCCTTTTGTGCTAAAGGTTTTTAAAGTTTTACAGTTTAACAACTCTTTAAGCTTTTAGGTGTGTTAACAGAAGCACTCATCATATTTTGTAATGCATTTGGTATGAGATTTTTTTTTAAAGTTCAAGATCTGCATTTATTCAGTGTCCTTTAGCTGAACTCCCTGAAGTTTACACCACAGAATAGAGAGTCACCAATATTCTTTCAATGTTTTGTCAAAGTGTCTCTGCTCTTCTTAGACACTAATTGCTTATTTTCACCTGTTTTCACTTATTAGCTTTTATTTCTGACATTGCTTTAAAGTACTCAAAAATAATGATTTTAGAAGAGGCATTATACAGAGAAATGCTGTAATGTTTTCTAACATGGGAATAATATTATTATAATGACATCGGCTCCCTCACTGTGATCTTAAGCCCAGCAATGGAATTTGAGCTACTAACACTCAACTTCAGCTGTGATCCTGCCAATCAAGACCTTTGTGCTAGTTATCACTGAAGTAGTCTTTTGGTAAAGCATCAAGCCCAAACAAGAAGCATTATGGCTGACTAGCAAACTTTGTCCTCATTCAACCTCCAAAATTCCATCAGTGGGTGAAACACGTCATACAAATGTACAGACATATCATGAAGTGTCTCAATCCTGAATGACTGCATGAAGGATGCAACAATGATGAAGTCAGATTATTCATAAGAGAAGTGTAGCAGAGCCTGGATTCCTGGCAAGGCAAATGTTGCTTTAGCTATAAAATGAAAGTATGGTAGCAAGTTTGCTGAAAGGCAACTTCTAGATGACAATGCTTTCCTAATAAAAGCTTTCACTAGGAATGGAAAGGTACAGTGAGCAGTATAGCAGGAAGAAGGGATTAAACTATTTAGAAAGTATGTTTACTGAAGCCATGTCATTCTGCACTGCACATCTGATAGCCTCTGTGTTTTGGACAATGTGGTGGCCAAGTGTTTGAGGGTGAGAAACTGAGCAGCTTTCTGCTGACTGCCGGTCCAACTTCAGCTCCCTTCCCATGCTGCACCCACATCCTACTGAAGCCATAACCGAGAAAACTGGCCCAGCAGCACCACAACAGGCAGGAAGGCAAGGTCTTTTAATCCACAGGGAATTTGTGACTGCTCAGGTTGCATTTTAAGTAAAATCACATGATTACAGGTGTGCAAAATCATAACAAGGAGACATTAGCAAACCAATCCTTAGCATGTGGCAACCACTTGATCTTCTGCCAAGTACTACTTCTATGCGGTAGCCTGGAAGTAAGATCAAACATACTCCAGATTCCTTTTATTCCCTCACAAATATATGCAGGATTGGTGCAACAGACTCTTCAGAATGTCCCCCCAGGTCAGTGCATCTGGCCATAAATTCTGAGAGAAGGGACTATATTTACAAGAAGGCAATGATGATGCCTATAGGAAAGAAGTGTATCATGGTTATTGATACATGACAATGCCTAAAAAAATGCAGTTTGAAGCAATCCTTCCTCAGGCAAGGGCATGCACAAATACTTCCATTATCAAAACACAGTGTTTTGCTTGGAAATTTTGCTAGACTAATTGCTCTTCTAAGGTAAAAAGTGATTGATTCTGTGGTCACAAAAAGAAAATTTGTTTGGGAAAATCTACAAAGAAGGTGCTTTATATTAAGACAAAATATTTTCTGCCTCACACCTGAGAAAAAAAGTTAGCTGAAAAAACCCCACTCCATGAGTGGTCATTAAGAGAGATGGACACAGCCATAGCTGAACCATGAGGCCAATTGCACCTCAGTATTTACACCCTTACACCAAATATTTTTCAGCACTGGATTAAATACCAGTATAGGAATGACAGGCAGTTTCAGCACTAAACTAATGAGAAAAGCTAGTCTTTACGACAAGCCTGTAAGAGAAGATGTGTTTCCGTTTGCTGAATAACAACAGAATCAGATGAAGTGTGAAGCTTAAGTGGGAAAAAAAAAGCAGTGTTTGCAAAGAAGCAGAAGAAAGAAATGATCAACTCAGAGTAAGTGGTGGGATATACACATTAAAGTTAGTCAAGAAAAGTCATAGAAAGTATGCAAATTTAAGAACAATTCTGCATGGACAGCCAGCAAGAATCCAGAGACAGAGACAGGAAAGGTATGGACCCAGCTCACAAATCTTTGTGGCATATGAAAAACTGGATTTACATGGCTCATAAAACAGAAAGTATGACAGGACATAGTCAACACATCCAGGACTTCAAGTAAGGTATGGATAAATGGGAGTAACGTTCCAGACATGGTGTCACCAGGTACAAACAGGGGGCACTGGGAGTGTTAATGAAATTTGCAGATTGTTGTCCTCAGGTCAGCACCACAAGCCCAGCTTAGCTGGTTAATGATTAAAAAAGACTACCTCCAGGTGGCTGTCCTATCTCAACTGTAACCTGAGCTCTCCATGTTGGTGCTCTCCATGCAATTCCAAATGGACAGGAACATGCAGAAGGTCAGCATCAGCTGGGCATTGGGCTTGTAGCATTTCACAGATTCACTCAGGCTTCCTATGTACATCCAGGGGCTCTACATCCATGTGCAGAATGGCCATCCACGCTGGCCATTTTTCCTCTTAAGGCGAGAAAAACTTCTAGTCTAAAATTACTGAAGCAACCGAACCCAAAGGTATCGAAACTAAAGAGATCAGGTAACAAAATGACTAGAGGTAATATGCTACCATTACACATTAATCTGGTGTAGCCTGAATGACTGTAGTTTCTAGTCTAAAGTTTAGAGGATTGCATAAGCACATTAGCACTCACTAACTTCCTTCTTTTAGCAAACTCTAAAAATTAAAGACATATAGCACAGTGGCATGCAAACAATTTTTATCATTTATCAAGTAACTTACCACAGTTATAGCGTCATTCAGCAAAGATTCTCCAAACACCAGGATGTAAAGCTGCTCATTGACATGAATATTTTCAAAAACAGCTAACACAGCCACAGGATCCACAGCTGAAATGAGGCTGCCAAAAAGCAAATTCTGCAGCAATGTGATATCAGTCAAGCCAAACGCACTGATCTGGCAAATTCCAAAAAGTGAAATCCCAATGCCAATGGCATTCCAGAGCGTGCCTACCACAGCATACCAGAATATGGTACCAAAGTTCTCAAAGAAAAGGCGAGTTGGCATAAAATATCCAGCGTCGAGTACAATTGGTGGTAAAAGATATAAGAAAAAAACATCACTGTTCATTACAGGTGGGGACTTCTCCTGTGCTCCAAAAATAATCCCACCAAGAAGCAATCCAACCAGAATAAGAAGACAGCTTTCAGGTACTATGGAGGGCAACTTGTGATAGAGATGGAAGCCTTCAAAGGAAATTCAAATACAAGAAAGTGAAATAGTTATTTGTACAGAATTCAAAAGACTATGCTGGATTCTGCTATATTACTCTCTATGGTGAACAAACAGTAATCAAAGGGCAAGGGCATTTTCGTTGCAAAGACTGAAATGAACAATAAGTCAAGATAAATTTACCAGTTAGGGTCGTTAGTCCAGCTAATTGAGTGAACAGTCCTTTCCTGCTAATAGCTAGGCTAGCTGGAGCAATTGGTTGCAAAGGCTCTGTTTGCAAAAGCTTTTTTTTTCCTGCAACATGGAGTCCTCCAGAAAGATATTCCCCAAAGACTTTTCTTGTGCAGATTACATCTATATAGGGGGAAAAAAACATATTAACTACTCCTGCCTTCATTCACAGCATCACAATGGAATTTTAAAAGTACAATAATTTTGTTTTTAGGTGTCTTCTCAAAGGTACAGGAATGTGACCAGCACCCATTGACCCACTTCCTCTGTGACCTTCCTACAAACCCATCATTTTTTTAACTTCAGTGGAGCCTCCAAAGCTGCATATTTTCTATTAAGTGATGGAAACTTGTGTCTTATTATGTCCTTTGCTCTGCATTATATGAATTATGGTAGCATCAGTAATGTCTACTAAAGAACTGTACAAAGTATTGACACAATAAAAAAGATTCTGAATGGCTTAATTGTAGAACAGAGCACAATCTAAAAAAATTCTGTAAACTGTGCAGATTTGATTTGAACATTCCAATTAATTTTAGAGGTTGATTTTTTAATTGCTAAAACGAGCATGACTTTTGTAATTAGAGGGAAAAAATCTAAAGAAAGTTACTCTGAGCAGTCTAAAGGAATGGTCAACCTTGTGCACCAAGGTCACATTTCAGGTCCTGGAGATGACAATCTTTTCCAGGCTCCTCCTTATCTATATTTAGCCCACATAATTATATAGAAAACTGTCCACACCCACAAGATCCTACAATTCCTGACTAACTAAAAAGCATTTTAATTATTTTAAATGAGAGCCACACAGAAACACTGGGTGTGGCAATAACGGACATCTATTTCAGTAAAACTATTTCAGTAAAAATCACAGCCGTAGTCGAAACAGTTAAATAAGTGCATACAGGGTATTTCATACCATATTTCCCAACTTTGGTCTTTTGTATCTTGTAACATCTATTTTGTTAATTCTCCTTTCATCGTAGTTTTTTTCCAGGAGAGATAAAGACTCATCTTATAATTAGGAAAAAAATTATTAGGACGGATGGAGGGGAGAGCTTTTCACATACAGATTCTATAACTATTACAGTTTTTAAAGTAAGTAGCTTGAGCTGTATTTTTCCTTTATGGATGAATACAGACTGTCTTTTTAATACTTATAAACACAGCTTTTGTGACTTCTTAGAAGGACTGCCAAATTTCCATCATCCTTCCAAACAGGAATCACCAATATTCGCTTGGCTGTATAGAAGAGGTAGCAATCCTGAAGACGGGAGATTTTACATTTGGAGACTTGACTCTTCATCTTTCATCCACTTTCACATAAATATTTTATGACTTGTATTCGTTTTTGCTGTGGCAGGAGGCCAAAATTTCCCACACTGACTGAAGTTTCTCCTGAGTAGATAAGCAGGCTTTGCTAAAAGTTTTTAGAAGCCTTTCCATAGTATATTAAATCATTTTCTCAATAAAATTGAAGAAGAGGGGATTTTTATTAATGCAGTTTTTCGCAGAATCACAGAATCACAGAATGTTTGAGGTTGGAAGGGGCATCTAAAGATCATGTAGTCCAACCCCCTGCTCAAACAGGGACACCCAGAGCACATGACACAGGGTTGCATCCAGGTGGATTTTGAAGATCGCCAGAGAAGGAGAGTCCATGACCTCTCTGGGTAGAGAAAACGTCTGTTTTCACGGAAAGAGAAGCACCCCAAACAGTTCTAAACAATGAAACGCTGATAATGAAAATAAAATAAAAAATCAATTGTTTCCTTTACTTCTTTAAAAAACACTATTTGGAAAGTTTCGTACCCTCTCAGAGTCTTTGGGGCTTTACCTTACCTGTAAAGGTAATGGCAAGGCTTCTGCGAAGGTGTGTTTTTTATCCATGCAATCTGCACCAAAACTCCTAAAAAAAAACCTGCCTGCCTTCATAAAAGGCATTCACAGGTAATATTAAGGGGTGAGCTGTGGCTCCCTCTTTAAGAAACTAGTAGAAGCCAGTGCACATTAAGTGATGCCCTGTAGAATGAGAGCCATGGTCCCTCTCTGTTGGATCCACAGACCTGTGGCCAGGAGCCCTGCAAGGCTGGAGGGAAAGCAGACCTGGGCTGGGAACACGGATGCATTTCACCCCAGGCTGTCACGGTCTGACATGGACAGCAGCCCTGGGAGTGGATTCCCCGCACCACGTGAGTGCTCTGACCGCTGCTGAATCCGACCCGGGACCACAGCTGCTTTCAGATCCTCTGACCGCTGGTTCTTGGCCTCTGACTACACAGTGATCCAGTTTCAGCCAGCATGGAAGATAGCCTTTGGGCATGAGGGCACTTGCCTAAAGTGCAAATGCAATAATTCTCAATTTAGAAGTCCCTAGAGTCCTGCTCTCCTACTTCTGAGGTAAAATTCAATAGTATCGCTCCTAATGTCACTGTCAGATACACTTTGATTGTAAGTGAGTTTTCCAAGGGTATTTTCAGAGATATGGTGCTGAACAATTCAAGTTTTTTTTTTTTTTCAGGAGGGAACTGTAGGAAGGATGTTGGCTCATGTTTCCAGAAGAAGCATTTCTAATCATGCATTTGTGATTAAAGGTAGGAGCCATGGGAACATGGATGAGTTAGGCAATATTTTGTAAATTTAGTAGCATAAGGATTAAGCAAAACTCTCACTGTCTCACTGTCTAGACACCATGGCATATTTTAAGTACACTGAATCCCACCTGTATGCTGGTAGAGTCCATCAGTGTATTGATAACAGATCTTATAGCATCACCACACCAGATAATAAATAACTAGAGATAGTCAGAAAGCAATAATTCTTTTCAAGGCATCTTTTGAGGTTTCAAAATGTTTTTTGTTCTGTGTGGGAATAAAAAGCACTGTCTTTTAATGTCTTCATGAAGATCTGCCTTGTCAAAATGTTTAAGTTTTCCTTGACAACTAGCTGCATGTTTTCTGTCTCACACTCTCTTTCTTGCTCTCTCTAAGCTGGGCCTACTGTGACCCCATCACAGCCAAGTTCTGAGAAAAATATCAGATAAATACTCTGGCAAAATTAGTATATCTTTGGAACATTTCTGCTTCAATGAAACTATATTTGTTTCATTTCACATGAAACTATATGTTTCATATTAAATGAAATGTATTTGTCAAAAAATCTTCCAATCAAGTTATAAAAAATTATTGTAATATATTTGTCTTTAGGATTCTTCATACACTGCAAGAAGTATTAATAAATTTGACCATGCCTTTGAAATCCTTGCAGTTGAAAAGGATTGAAGGCTAAATTCATGCAGGTCTGCAGTGTACATGAATGTGTACATGTCCAGCACCTAGCCCCAGAAAGGAATTTGCAATGCCAGACTAAGCACCTAAGTTTGCTGGGTAGTGCAAGAGTCTCCTCATGGATTTCATGCCGCCTTGGCATGACATGGACAAGCTGCCTACACTGCCCAGCACGAAACTGTGAGGAAACACGTCAGAGAATCCCAGGCCTATCCCAAGCCTACGCATCATGAGACAGACTGCGAAGCCCCCTCCATCCTGTTGATTGCATAGGAGAAGGATGCGGCAGAACCAATATTTCTACATCTCGGTGGTTAGGGAACTATCTATCTGGGCCATCTTTAATATAAGAGAGGGCACAAACGAGCAAAAAAATTAACACTGTGGGAATGTGCCCTGGGAGCAATGAGAGCCTGTCCTGGGAAGGTGTGCCTGACGCAGGCGCGGGATAAGGAAGCACCAAAGGAGCTCCAGGAGTAAGAACTGGGCGTTCCTAATTGCAGTCTTGGAGTCAGGGCCCCTGCAGTGAGGTGTGGTGAAGCTCAGCACTGCCGCACCTAGGGCCTCTCTTGGATCTGGCCCTTAGTGCTTAGTGCACACTTAAAACAAGCGAGATAATGCCCTGCATTAACAACACCCATTCTTGCTTGGTATAACTGAAAGGGTCTAAAAATAAAACACAGTTCTCCTTATTCACCTATTCTCCATATTCAAATAAGTTTGCTTATTTGTTCTACTACAGTTAGCTTGGAAAATGAAGGTAGCCAAGTTGTCTTTCTCACTTTGTAGATGCCTATGCCCTAGGAAATCATTGTGATGGTTAGAATGCTTGCAGTCCCACAGAAGCAGTATACTGCCATGTATGCCTGTATGTTGGGGTGTTTTAAATGGCTTCACTGAAATGTCTTATAAAACAAATCCATTTCATTGGTCTTGCTATAATACCTGAACTCAGAACCTAGGGCAATTTTAGCACATTATTTTAGTTTGGCCAAGATTAATTCTTAATAATACTTTTATATGTTCTGGCTATAACAATGTGGGTATTTCATATACGAACTCCATCCTGATTCTGCAAATGCCTAAATACATACTCAAGACTAAATAGGTAAATCTTAATACGTCTTTAATACATAAAGTTATCTGCATCTTACAGGATGCAACATGCAGTATTTCTGTAGATGGAGATGAAGCTATAAGCAGTTACTTGGGAAAGGCATATCACCCTCGACCTCAGCACTGGCGGTGATTGGAGGTGAGTTTCAAGCATGTGTTTAAGGCAGAATCAGAACTACCTGACCCCTAGCCAGAAGGTGACATATTTAAATGGCACAACCGGGAGGCAAAGTTTTCATATTTCGTCCAAGTGTTTTTCTTTACTCCCCACGGCTTTTTTCTTGAAGTTATCTATTAGTTAATGTCCAATGGTCACCACATATGGAGATTTTTACTGATTTTTATACCTATAGCTGGTATGCCTTTATCTGATTTTCTTTAGA